CAGTACAAACTCTTTGTTGCAGCGAGGATGCTGGGCACAGAATGCATCACTGCCCCTTTAAAGAGGAACAAGCTCCCTCTTTTTAAAACAGCTCCAATAAGAGGACAGTCCAAGACAAAACTCGCTGAAAAATGACTGTGTACTGTTTTCCAGACTCTACATTCCCTGTCAGACCCTTGATGGGAACCTAGAAAACTTCTTCAAAAACAAAAATCAGGCCTACTCTCCTCCATCACTCTCACTTCATGGTGGACTACGCTTGGGAAATAAAGCTGATCTGCCTAGAAAACAGTGTAAGCAGTGCCGAAGAAAGTGCCTCATGAAATAGTGCCTCAGACAGTGAGGTCTAAATATTAGATGGGTCAGCAGTCATCAACATCCTGAAACCAGGCGTAGCAAGGTTTCCAGCAAGATCTTTGTACCTTATATCAAAGAGAAACTTGAAAGGGTCAACAGAGTGGATGTAGTATGGGACTACTATGAAGATCAGAGCTTAAAATCCCAGAAGCGGGGAAAGAGGACAAGAACAAGAGTGGATGGGAAAAAACAAGTTAGCAAACCAACTAGAAAGGCTTCCTGAGAGTGGATCTTTTACTTTCTGGCCAGGAACTTTGTGAAAATGTTGACTACCAAACAAGTTGTTTTCACATGCTGACCCAATCATCTCACCCACCACAAGAATCAGATCAGATTGCCCCTTGCACACGAAGAGGCAGATACAAAGATGCTACTCCATGCGGCGGATGCTGCAAGAAAAGGATTTCAAAAAATTCACCCTGCGCACTGTGGACACAGATGTTGTGGTTCTAGCCATTGCACATGTGTCAGGGCTGGACATTGAGGAGTTGTGGGTGGCATTTGGGACTGGCAAGAACTTCAGATACATACCTGCCCATGAGATTGCCAAGTCTCTGGGTCCTGACAAATCCAAGGCCCTTCCTGAGTTCCATGCCTTCACTGACTGTGACAGTCTGCATTTGCAACCAGGGGCAAGAAGACAGCATGGGATACCTGGAATGCAGATGACATGGCAATAGAGGCCTTCATGGCTCTGTCAAAGGCTCCAAAAAGCATTCCAGAGGAGGACATTTCTGTTGTGGAGCTCTTCACAATTCTCCTCTACGATCGCACCAGCAGCGAACTCAACACTGATCAAGCTCGTCTTGAGTTCACAAAGAAAGGAAGGAGGAATGGAGTAAATCCCCCCAACTAAGGATGCACTGCAGTCAAGTCAAGTCACCTTAATTTATATAACGCTTTTTACAATATACATTGATTCAAAGCAGCTTTACAGTGATAATAGGAAATTCATTGGCTGTACAGCAGCTCTAGGAGTAAATCATAGTCCAGCTTAAGTACGTTTTTTTATTGATTCATTACCATTGTAAAGATCATTAGGGGCTGCTTACACAACACCGTTCTCAACTGAAAACAGAAAACACTCAATGGACTCCAGCCGTTCATCCACACGACAACGGCGGCCTGGTGGCCCGAGAACGCGAACCCCGAAATAGGTTTCAAAGTGCAAGCTCTTGAAAACGAGTTTTGAAAATGATACCGTTCTCATCTCTTTACTCTTTACATTCACTGCATTGTCAAGGTTAATGAACAAAAAGATTAAGCTTTTTAAACTCTACACAACATACGTGCAACAGACATGGTATTATAGAGTCTAGCCTTGGTCATCAGATACTGTGATTTCCTTCTCTCATCCCTGAATTTACCATTAACTATTCACCTTAACAGTTTATGTCGTTGTATATGGTATCATTGTAATCCTTGACCATCAAAACATAGGGGTAGACATCATCTTTTCTGTATTATCATGTTTGGTTCAGGAGATATGATACACAATACATAATTTGGTTATGGCGGAAAGCAAAATAGCCACCACTAGGCGTTTTTGCGATGGCTCCATTTCTGAAAATGTTCAGGTACAAATGTCCCCAAACTGTACAAGAGTACCAAGTTTCATGCTTTTATGAAAAAGTGAACATACCACCTCAAATTTTGCACATATCACCTGGACTATATGGCCTCATCGGAAAGTAAAATGTCAATCAGATGCACAATTCAGAATCTCGGTAGGACATAGTAATTACTTTTCACCTACTTTTTTATGATCATTATGAATTCAGACATACTTATTTCACAAACATATTTTTTTCTACTTCAATAATCCGCTTTACTCAGATGTACGTCACAATTTGGAATGAATGGTCTGTAACTACTGTCGTTTCATCGCAACTTTAAACAGGAATTTTGAAGTCACTGACCTAAAAAGTTGCTTAGATATTGCTATATTTGGATTAAAACTGTGGGTTGTGTTTTTCAAGGACAACACATCCTTTTTAATATATGGTGTAGTAGAAGAAAACGTAAAAGTAACTAATAACTACAGACTATGGGCCAGATTTACTAAACAGGGCAAATTAGCGTGAGAGCACAATCTCATAAAAGCGACCACGTGCAAATGAAAGAACACAGACGCATCCGGATCATTTCCATAATGACCAACGCAATCTACAGAGAGCAGAGCGAATTAGCGTCTGGTTTAAGACATGCTGTTTTGGGGTGTTAAATAATGGAGCAAATACCAGTAAATTGACTAGCACAAACCTTAGTAAATCACCTTGCATGATTAGTTTAAAGGCACAATATGTAGGTTTTTTTGCGCCACAAGAGGGCGCAGTTTCCAACAATAACAAAGGCGTAAGTTTATGACGCAGTGATGAGCTGAATGATGGGACTTGCTGTCAAGCTGATGGATCTAATAATGTTTATGGATGAGTGCAAACATTCATGTTTTTTAAACATTACAGTGGTATGAAAGCAGGTCGCGATTGCTAAAGAGACAGATATCACACGCGAGTCCCGCGGATATAAAGGAATAAGGACATTTAATTCTACCGAACTACCCGCAAGTGCTGGATTACTCACACTGGTCAGTTTATTAGACGAATTAAACTTGTGAGGTAACGCAGTGCTGCTTCACTTGGTCTAACGTTACACTATCACACAAAACGGCATTTAAATGTGTGTCGAAAGTTATAATGTTATACTACGTGTTAGTTAATTCTAACATTTAATCATGTTGAGCTAACGTTATATAACTTTGATTTGTTTTATGTACATTTGCTCACCTGTCTAATAAAGCTGTCAAGTCGTGACTCGTGAAGCTCTGTCAAGTCCAAGTTAGTCGCGGACGTGGAGCTCTCGGCATCTCAAAAACACCACGCTGATATTGATCCTCATTTTAGTTCTCCTTGTTTGTCCCAAAGTCTGCTTGCCATGGTCTATGTTTGAAAGAAACAAGAACTGCGTGCCGCTAAATGTTACGCACTACGCAGTTGTCCACGTCTGTCGCCATGGTTACGTCATGGCTATGGCAGTATGAACGGAATCCGAGGATAGCGCGGATAGCGCGCGACATTTTTTTCTGGGACGGCCACTTATTTAAAATTGGAATTTCTCTGAAATAAAAAATCTTTGGAGACTTTTGGGATATTGTAAGTACACAACTGCTGGAAATATATCACACTGTGCAAGTGATTTTTGGATATTTTATTACAAAATTCTTACATATTGTACCTTTAAATACTTTTCCATAAAATTCTGCGTCTGAAAACTCCTACAAATGCATATGCAATAAGGTCAGCCCAAAAAATAACTGTCTTAAGTAAATCTTGACAGTAGTTTTTTAATGCCAAAACAGGGTTTGTGCTGGTGCAAGCTGTTAGTAAATCTGTCCCTATAGGCTATTACTCGTAAATCAAAATCGCCCAATGACGGCTATTATAAAAACCCACTGTGACTGAAAAACCTTCCAGGTTTTAGGGCTACAAACTGAAAAGCTCTAAAGAAGATATCCAAAATGTGCAGTGTTGGGCTAGGCTACTCCAGAATTGAGAACAACTGCTTTGAAAGAATGAATATGAATGGATTGCCTAGTCATCACCTAGAGAGTAGTATTTAACTTAAGGGTTATTTACAGTGTTTGATGGAAGTGTCTATAAGTGAGGGATTTAATACCTAATTATGGGCCTCTGGTTGTAAATTGTCACTTTAAGCACCACTTACAGTATTAAATTTCCCCTTTGCACCGAAAGAGAACACAAGTGTACACTTCAAAAGTCTAAAGGGGAAGGCTACTCTTTAAATTTCAGCTCAGTTACAAGGCAATGAAATACTGAAACATTGCTCTTGTTCTTAGTAAAAATCTTTATTTTGATCATTCACAAATAGCATAGACATGAACTTTTTCATCCATCAAGGTTTTAGTTTAAGTTATGTGTGTAGTGGAACTTTTTTTTTTTTTTTTGCTGTAACTTCCATTTGTTTTATTTTTAATCACAGTAAATTATGTCATTATAATTTTGTTGTCCATACAATCGAAGTAAATGTTTACCAAAATTATTTGTTTAACAACATTTCTCAAAATATCTTAATTTATGTTCCTCAAAGAAAATCAAACAGATTTGGAATGACATGAGAGTGAGTTTTGACAGAATTTTTATGGGTGATCATGATCTATCCCTTTAAATAATCCTGTGGCAAGACCTTTTGAACGTCAATTAAATGTTTGTTTTTTAATGTTCAATACAATTTAACATTCCAGGTTATATGAGGTTATAAAAACTGCATGCATAATAATAATTATATATATAAATAATATATTGTTCAAAATAGTTTTAAAAGTATAGCATGTCACACTGCTTGAAAATTCATGTCAACTACCCATGTAATTATTTAGGATATGACTGAATAATAGAATGTATGATGGCCTGGGGTTGTTTATGCTATTCAACAGGTCTATCTTAATTATCAGTATTGTTGTTTAATGGTGAGATTGTATATTTACCTTAAATAGATTCATTCAAGTAATATTTTCTTCAACATTTATAATTACAGGCTATATATTAAATGCCACAGGACCAGATGCAGACTGAATAACGAGTGGAATTTTTGTGAGAGCCCGAATAATTTTTTACAAATGCCATTCTGTTAACATTATTCCTAATGATATTTCAGTCTGGTTTCAAGATCTGTTCCTGCTTAAAGAACATCCCCATCAGTTATGGAAAGTAACCCTGATGTTGATCTGGATCCTAATAAAGATGACCTTCCCCTGCGGGCTAACACCAACCATATGCTCGTCCGACACTATGTGCTTGACCTCACTGTTCACTTTCAAAGGAAGGTCATTGGTGGCAGCATTGTTCTGTTTCTGGAGCCCGCTATTGGTTCCTGCAAACAAGGTGAACCGGGATCTGTATCAAAGACAGAGGCGCAAAACATATCTCAGGTGTCATCTAAACATGACGTAAGTTCTCCCATCACACCTGAGCCAAATGAGTTGATACCCCCTGAGGAACCATCACGTTTAAGTGGAGGAAATGATGTCAGTGATGTCTTTTGGGGTGATGAGAGGGAAGAATTCACCTTGGTGCTGGATTGTTGTGACCTGATGGTGTCAAAAGTGGAAGAGGTGGATGTAACTACAGTGTCTAATTTAAAGAAACTTGACGTAGACCATCGGTATGCAAAGGCGGATCATCCGTCATCCAGTCTGGTACAGAGACTGGTCTCTATGCCTTCAGTCTGCTGGAGATCGCAGCATGAGCTATACCTTCAGTGCAGCCGTTCCCCTACCGTCCTAAATGCACAACCTCTACGGTTCCACATGGACCAGTGGAGTCTTCAGGTTAGGAAGGAAGGGGTTTGCTCCCCTCATGACTTCCCGTCTGCTGTCAGAATCTGGTATGAAACAAAGCCCACAGGTGGTTCTGTGAGGTGGACAAAAGACCAGGATAGCAGGTAGCAACCATGTTTATATTTACATGCACCAACAACTAGGCCTGGGTATTCATCACACAGCCTATGTCCTTTTTGCAGCATCAGCTAATGCTCTCTTAAAAATAAAGGTTTTTAATTGGCATCTATGGTTCCATGAAGATCTTTTAACATCCATAAAATCTTTCCATTCCGCAAAAGATTATTTATAGTGAAAAAAGGGTTCTTCTTCGTGCTAAGAAAAAAAAAATAGTTCACTTAACCCTTAATTTAAAAAAGTTACTCTGGGAAAAAATGTCTGTGTCAAAAAACTGTCGTAAAAAAATTGAAGCTTGGGAGCACAGACTTAAGTTTGGTCTCATTTTAAAGGAGAAAAAGTTTAAAAAGTGGAACCAAAAAAAGTTCAGAGGTTTAAGTTAATGAAAATGATTTATGAACATTATTTTATATAAAATATATGTTTTATGAAACATGTTGAACTCTAAAACTGCTAGAAAATCAAAGCCATCAATCTAAACAAGTTGTGTTCCAAATTTCAGGATATCTAAAAAAAAATTCTTTAAATAAGATTTTGTTTGGGCGCAGTACCAAATTTTCCCCGTTAGATGCCAGCAAAGCTTCACTGGCACACACAGTGGTTGGATTTGTGATTTGCACTACAGTAGAGGTTTTCTCTCTCAAATATTACATGTATGCACACACTATCTTTTTCTTACACACATACAAACCACACTCTGACATTCATACCAGCACACCCACACAATTATAGCTGCATAATTGATCAAATTGGCTCTATAATATCCATTAGAAAACAGGAACAAAGCTAGTAACCATTTTATTTTTGAAGCCCTGCAAACAGAATGAAAGTCGTTTTTATAGTTAAATGGCTATTAAAAATGAACTGGAATTCAAAATTGCAGTTTTAATGGATTTCAATTGGGACTTTTTTGTTCTTCAAGGTCCTGAGTGTAACTATTTTGTGTAGTGTACAATTATTTTAAATAGATTTATTAAAGGAAATTGTGGTGAAATAGTAAAATTCCAATAAAAATGCTTTGTGCCAAAATGTATGCAGTTGGCATTAACAGGCAAAATTATATATATATATATATATATATATATATAAACTGAAAAAGACACACACACAAAAAAAAGGATGGACATTGGACAAGGGTTAATAACTGTTCACTGAAAGGTTCCTTGGGGAACCAAAATGACTCTTTTATGGCACAAAACCCCTCTTTTAAAGAGTGTAAAGGGGAACCCTCCTGGTACATTACAGAAATATTTCTATTTTTTAAATTACACATAAAATTCCACTAATAAAAGTAATGATAGCAATGTTTATTCAGTAACTGTTGTGACATTTCAAGTGAGTTAATTCAGTGAAGGATTGATTCAAACAAAAAACTTCAAAGTTCGTGAATCTTTTGAATAATTCATTAAAATCATTTGTTCGTGAATCGATCTACACGGGTTGCACCATAGATTGCGCTGTATGTTTTTGATTCACTAAAAAGAACCGTTTAAAATAGTTACTTGTTCGTGAATCATCAAGCTGTAAGCCGTGCAACCTGCAAAAAAAAATTTCTTGGTATTATTTTTTGTAACAACCTTTTGTATATTCTCACATTCTCACATCTCAATGCTGCAAGGCTTTAGATTTAGCACCATCTCTGAAAAGCATGGCAAGAAACACTGGCATAGAGTAACAGACTATTTTTACCCATTCTTATCGTTTAGATGCTGTGTATATAACATGGGCTCGCCCATCAACAACAGAGCCCTCTTCCCGTGCCAGGAGCCACCTGTTGCCATGTCAACGTGGCAAGCATGTGTGAGAGCTCCGTGCGATTACAATGTTCTTATGAGTGGGGAAAATCAAGCCTTTCCTAAGCCTGCGGAGACAGGTAGGCTACAGTTGGAACCCTAATTCAGCAGTTCATAATCACGGAGGTGCAATTTAGTGCAATAATTTTATTATGGAAAATTCTGAAGTCTTTTCTCTACTCCGTTCAGGTTTTCTGCAGTGGGATTATTATGTTACGATGCCAATGCCAGCCTCTACCTTTACCATAGCAGTAGGGAAGTGGCTAGAGGCTGGAGTAAACATTCCCAACTTTGAGGTGGAAAAGACAGACGAAACTTGTGTCAAAGTACCCAGGTATGTTGTTCATGTGATGTGACTAAGAAGTGTAAGTCAAGAAAAAAATATTGACTGTTCAGACTTTTTTGTAGATTTTTAGAGATCTTAGGTATTATTTTGACAAATTTGACAGTTTTTAAAATTTGAAAATCTCCCAATGACATTGATACATTTTTATTCAATGCCACAAGAACAAGAGGCTATTACCACATTATTAACAACATTAAAGTGTGTTTTAACCCAAAAATCTAAAACCCATAAAGGCCCGTTCACACCAAGGACGATAAAGATATAGTTCTAAAAATCGTTCTCAATATTAAATAATTGCAGAGTCTGGATGGATATTGTTGGAATCACTTTCAGAATGATTTTATCCAGCCAGTGAACGATAAAAACATTGACAGCCAATCAGATTCCATCCTGCTGTAACAAGCTAGCTTCAGACAAGCACATGCTTAGAATAAACAGAACGATACTGCATGAGAAATTCAGTTTTATTATTTAATACAAATTTATATAAACTTTAACAATTTAATCGACTTTTTAAAATGTAATCAAATGAAAATACAACAATTAATTTACAACAAAACATTGCATTTTTTATTTTTTTTGTCAAATAAGAATTTAAAACATGGATGAAAAAATATATTGGTTGTATGATATTCCTTAGAAATATTAATATTAGTATTACTTTGAGAAGTACATTTTAGTATAGCTTACAGTAGTGATATATTTCAATCATAATTTCTTGAAGTTAATTCGAACTTTTATTTTGACGGTTTGTCGTGAGGATTTTTCAGTTTTATGCTGCGTTCCATTTTGAGCACGTAAATCACGACTTCAAACCACGACTCACGACTTTGTAGCATTCCAGGCCAGTCACGCCAAACTACCTGAGCGCAATATACATACTTATTTTTTCAGACACATAACATTGTAATACATAATCGTGTGTGTATATACATACTTATTGTTTCAGACACATAACATTGTAATACATAATCTTGTGTGTATTATTATCATTATTATTATATTATTATTAATTTGACTGCAACGTTATATTGTCCTAAAGTGTATTCTCACTGTGTACCGCCTGCAGAAACACTGCATCCGTAGGGGCTGCCATTGTTGTTTTGTATGGTTTTGCGGGCTATGTGACGTCAGAACTCGTAACTGGTGCTGCGTTCGGGAGTACATCGATCTAGTACGAGTTCACGGGTGGGAAGTCACGGGTTTGACTGCCGTTCCAGTGCACTTTCACGGGTATAAGGTTGGAAAAACACGGGTTACGGGTTGCCTGGAACGCGGCATTAGTTTCAGTGTAACTGACGGTAGTTTTTCTCAAATTAAACGGTGAAAAGCTTGTGAAGTGATGCCGCGTTCCAGGCAACCCGTAACCCGTGTTTTTCCAACTCGTAACTGGGAGTACATCGATCTAGTACGAGTTCACGGATGGGAAGTCACGGGTTTGACTGCCGTTCCAGGCAGACGGAATAGACGCTGGCTGAAAACACCGTGAGCGTCACATTCACATCATGTGTGTGAGTTTGTGTATCAGACAAACCGCGCCGTTCATTCACACAGACAACATGCACTGACTTGCTGATGTCGCTTTTTTTCCTGCTTTTTGATAAACTTATAGATTAATCCATGTCGAGTAAAAATGTCCATAGCTTATCGTCGTTATCGACGTAAATTGTAGCGCGATCTCGATAATATCTAGTTTTTCGCGCAGCCCTACTTTTAAAACAACATTCCACTTCTTTTTATGTTTGTTTTTAGTTTGTTCCAAAGGTGTATGTATAATTTTAAGTAATTTATTTTAATGTGATAAATTTGGTTTGGCAAAGAGTATGAATGCTTCTATGGTATATTCCTTATAAAATAAATATGGAAAAAAGTTATTATGTTTATTACATCCCAATAATATACACACATCTCTATCATACATCCCAGTTTTCTGTTTATTTCGGTTTCTAAATACTTTCCAAAGTAAAAACAATGATAAAACAAATGCAGAATTGTTTCTTTTTATGTAGTGATGTAGTGATGACATTGATTAAATGTCACAATATTTGCATATTACATTGCTAATGGAGTAATGTATGGTCTTCCTTGTCATCTATCTGCATACTGAATTGTGATTGGACTTGGGTTCCTTGCATACAGTGACTCTGTGTTGATTCTTGTTTACTATGCTGAATCAAAGCCTACAACTAATACTCTTTATAGAAGAAGAAGTTTTATTTATAAAGCGCCTTTCCGTAGCTCAAGGTCGCTTATAGTGTATTCTGCGTTAATATTGGCACATTTCTCTGTTTTGCAGTCTTTCTTTGGACAGCGCTGATCAGCAATATGTTTGCTCCCACATGGATTATCCCTGTCGCTTCATGCTTAGCGCTGCTAGGACACAGACTGTTATTCCTCACCGGGTATTTGCCCCACCCTGCCACCTGCAAAAGGCAAAGGACATGATTCTACCCCTACTGCCTCTCTGTATGACCGCAGCTCACTCTCTTCTTGGTGTCCATCCATTCTCACGTCTAGATGTGCTCATTGTTCCCTCAGGGTTCTCCAGTCTGGGCATGGCCAGGTAAATGGTGCATTTATCTCAAATATGATTCTGGAATAATAATATTTTGTTTGATCTGTAGTGTGCAGCAATCATAAATAATGTGTAGAGGTAGAACTGAAGTGATCCGTTTTATCCCGTTTGGCTACTTAAAGAAATGTCATGATTTACAAATCCCATATCACTTACTTTCATCCTTGGAATGCAAAAGGAGAAAGGTTTTTATTATTTTGTTCCCTTGTGCGATTGCAATGAATAAATATTCAAAAATGTTTAAAACTTAAAAAAAAAGACAAAATGCTATATAAATCATATAATATCATAGGGTGACCAACAGTCCTGTTTTCCCAGGACATGTCCTGTTTTCACGTCCTGTCCTGGCCGTCCTGGCTGTTTTTTATAAAGTGATGAAAATGTCCTGGTTTTCAAAAAACTGCTGGGAAAGATCAGCTCTACAGCAAAATATAGAAGGGCAAACAAGGAGAACGAGGAAGAAAAACAGGATAAAGAGGAAGAAAACTAAAGATATAAATATATTTTGTTAGTTCGTTTTTGTAAGTTTGTGAGAGCTATTTTAGTTCAATTTGGAGGTATTTCTTTTAGTTATTTATTATTTCTATATTTATTTTTCTAATACAGAAGAGACATTATTCTATCATTATTTCATTCATTATTTTTGAAACCTGTCATAATAAAACATGTTGAGTAACCTCTGAGAAGCCTATCTGAATTTGTGTCTTGTAATATAACAATTTTCTATCCATACAGAGGAGGCATAGCCTACTTTAAATGTATTGAAATTAATAAGGCATCTTTGAGTAAACTTCGAGTATCATTTGAGTATCTGTTTGCCGGGCCGAGTGTCCTGGTTTTTGGTAATCAAAATATGGTCACCCTATAATATCATAAATGTGGTCCATAAAATGTGTGCATTTTATTCCAGGTCTTCTGAAGCTTTTTGGTGCATTGTATTCTTTTCATCATTATTGCATGGAAAACAGTGACCAGGACATTTTTCAAAAATTTCTCCTTATGTGTTTCATGGAAAAAAGAAAGTAATACCGATTTGAAACAACTTACAGAAAAAAGGTTTTCGCCCGTTTTTCACACTCCCTCTCAGTCTCATGTTAGTTAACACTGCATACGTATATGTATCAGTAGTATCTCATCAACAGTGGTAAACTAAAACACTGACTTGTCTTATTTAGTCTGCAAAGCAGAGGTTTTTAGAAGTGAAACATAGATATCAAGCCATTGCTTGGCAGCTGTTCCCACTGATTCCTTTTGGGCATTGCCCTCCAGCATGCCACAGTTTTTATGAATTGACCGATTTAAATGCTCTTTTTGGCTAACCATGCTGTTTGTTTAGTAGTCTGGGTGGCTTTAGGTGGTGAGAACCTGTTGGATCTGTTTAAATGGCTGCAGTGAAACTCATTTTCCTTACACTGCTCAGGAAGGTCACTGTTCAGGAAATGGTCAATGGATCGTATGCGTGCACTCTGTTTTTGTTTGTGTTTACAGTATACCAAGCTCTATGTTTTCTTAAAACCATTCCTTAACTAGAATTTGATGTGGAATTTCAGGCATTGCACAATTTCCAGTGAAGAAATCGCTTTGGAGTTTGGATATAAGCAAACACTAGTAAGAAAGGTGACCACAGATCTTCCCGTATTTCCCACCATCTCCTTGTCCAGGAATAAGTATTCCACAGGATATGAGGTCATTACCCAGTGCCCCAGGCTGGTTCCAGCCATTCACAGAGAGAAAATGTCACATTCTAATTAGCACTGGGCATGCATCTTAACAGCGGTCACTCCTGTGTTTTTCTTTTCCTGAATTAGTTACTCCTTTTCTGCTTGAGCTAATGTGAAGCACAGGACTCAGGACTGCAGGTTTTTTTTGGTCTGGAGAGAATTTAGTTAACTCACCGTTTATTACAGCCTGGTTTTATTAGCCTCCTTGCAAAAACTGCCAGTGGATGACAGAAATATGTCTGTGTGCGAGAGGAACGGATACTCATACTCCCTGTCCTTTGCCCTGTACGGATCACAGCAGGAGACAGTCGGCCGCCCCTTCTCTAGGGAATGGTACAGTCCTCCAGGCCATTCTTGAAGCACAAATCAGAGCGAAAGAGAGGGATCAACAAAGTACATTTGGGGCCAGGAGAGGGGCACTTTGAGATGCCGATCCCCCAGGATGTGGGAGAGGATGTGTTGATTATTTCCAGCAACAAAAGCCATTCGCTCCTGGAACCACTTCAGAGACAGGAGCTGTTTAATCTGAAAATTGGGAAGTATGTGGGCCCAAATCCTTGGGGGCAAGCCAATATCTGCTTTTATATCATGCTTGTTCATTTGCAGCTGGGGCTTTGGACATACAAGTGGTGCTGCTGGTGGTTCTCTGGAGGGAAGGAAGTAAAGATTAAGAAGTCAAGAAAGGCCAGGCCTGATAGTGTGCGCTGTGCTTCCTCCCAAATACCCGAATGACTGCTGTCCCAGTGCAGAAAAAAACAGCAATCCCACCGGGACGTTATTCTTGGCTCGATTCCTCTGAGTCTGATTCGTGAAGCCCTAGAATCTGATGACAGGCTTTTTGAAGCTTGAGGAAATATTACTGCGAGGAACATCATCACACTTCCATCCTGTGTATGGTTGACCGATCACGTAGGGAAGTTTCTGTGCTGTTGCGGCTACGAGGTGATGACGTAAACACAAGATGCTCGTATCTTCAGATCTTCAGAGGAAGGGCACAGCACTTTCCTCAACTTTGAAGGCGCTCACTTTCTGTCCCTTAACACCTCTTTTACGCCACAGCAGGGCATAGTTGGAATACTTCATATGCCAGATGTGCAAATATGGGCATCGGCTGCTTTTCTGCGAGACTGAGGTCTTCTGCAGCTTAGAGAAATCTTATTTCGTTGTGTTTTCCCACGCTATGTCAATGATGTAAGGTGTTTAGTGACAGTAGGTGGGTAATAGCTTTATTTACTAATGTCTTTTATGTAGAATCCAAAGCTGTATTGTTGCAGCTGGCAATTAAGTCATCATTGGATTGTTGCTGTATGTTAAGACAAGCACACCACCACCATCAGTAGTGCTTTTGGAAGATATTCAGATATGTCTACATAAATAATTTGTAGAGAGACAGGTTAAAGGAATTCTGGAATGTTCCTGCTAAATATTATGCATCCAGACGTTCTCATGAGTAATTGCCAACCCACTTGAAGTGCATTTTGTGTACTTTTACACTGTATAAATAGCTCATCTCGGTCAATTACTTGGCAATTACTCTGCTGCTGAGACTAGCATTTGACCTTATATAGCCTGTTAGATCTGTCTGAACTCTGAGGCGGTTTGGACTGGCACCCGAGGAGAGAGAGTGTGTGTGTGTGTGGGTGTGGGTGTGGATGTGGGTGTGCGTGGGGGTGGGGGAGGTTATATGCAGAATCATGCCTTAAAAATCTCAGTAGCTCTTCACAGCTTAAAGGAATATTCCGGGTTCAATACAACTTAAGCTCAATTTACAGGGCAGATGGCTGTTACAAAGTTGAATACCACAAATTAAATTCAACCTGCATTTCAACTTTTTGGAGGCACTCACAATGGAAGTGAATGGGGCCAATCCATAAACATTAAAATACTCACTGTCTTAGGATAGCCACAAGACAATAATAATATGTGTGTTTACATGAATTTATGTGTTATATCCAATTTTATAATTTTGTTGCCATGATGTAAATCCTACAAACCTAGAAATTATGATTTCAACGGCTTTACGGCTCAAATAATTTACAAGCTTTAACAGAAGAATAGAAGTGCTTTAACTATTATTAGCTACAGTATACATTTCTTCTTTCTTGCTACATGCTCTTACATTTTAAGTGCCTCATATTAACCTCTATTTTCATCTTCTTTCTTTTTTTTAAAGAGAATGATGGACACATTAAAAAATTTGTAATGGTAAAAAACATTATGCCACAAATGCTGTTCTTTGAGCTTGTATTGAACCTGAAGTATTCCTAGAAAAGTCAAAATTATCACACATCTGTCATTCTACTAATCTACTGTATATAAGTGAATTATGTGCTCCATCTGGATTTGAGCAGTTTTGGGGGCAAAAATGCTTTTCATGTTGACTATTTGTTGGAGGAAATAGCAGGTGGTATGTTCTGCCCAGAGAGGTAGAGACCTTCAGCCTGGGGGCAACCTACTCTTCATATTTCACCACCTGAACAGGTAGTCAGCAATTGCATAGAAGGAATAAAGAAGTTTGTTTCCCAGAGGTGCTGTGTTTGCTGTTCACGAGCTGCGCTCGCACACGCTTTTCGCTACATATAGTACGCAGGGTAGGACAATGTGATTTAGGACTTTGAAGTGATTTTGGTATTCAGCGGAGTTATGATTATGTAAACTCTCCAAAGATTAACAATATAAAATTTTTACCAGTTTTAGAAACATGCACCACCCACATGCGGCAAATTTGGGATTCGAAAATGTTTAAGGGCGAATTAATCATCCTTCATACGTTCTGACTCACCAGAGTATGTTAGATTACAACTGCATGAAATAAATGATTGGATTTTGAAGTTCTGAATAACACAGGCATTATGTGGACCAAGGGTAATGAAAAAGTAAAAACATTATTTAAATGTAGGCTCACATTTTAATATCGGCAAGTTTGTGGCTGCATGAAATGCTCTTATTATAATCAGGCTGCCTCTGCCTTTGGTTGTCGAAATTGGTCAAATATTATATGTTTTTTCTACTGAGAGGCAAGGTCTGATTAGATATTCTGATTGGGCCATACATGAATGTCCCAAACAATGAAGTAGTGCCACTTTTCAGCATTACTTTGGTTTGTAATTGGAGAGTCTGGCTCAGTTTTGAGGGTGTTTTAGGTGTTTTAGGTTTTTTAGTGGCTACAGGTAGCACTTAACTCATTGTAATATCTATCTAGTACCAAACTCATTTCTTTGCTGACATGCCCTTCTTTTAACCTTAAAATGACCATATGGGGAAAGG